GTTCAGAATTGAGCCGTCAAGTTCCGGGGTGAGGGACCAGGTGTCCCGCATCTCGGCTGCAAGTTTGGACCGCTGCCTAAGGAGGGCGTCCAAATTTGTGAGCGCCCCTGGGTCCGTTCTGCAAAGGACCATCGACTACGCCGCCGAGGTAAGACTAGTGCCCCATTATTGCTTGATTTCGCCCAACAGGTAGTTCAATCTAACTTTTTCCTTCTACCATTTCGCAGGCGTTCGTTGCTTCCATTCAATCGGCTCTGGCTGTCAAGGCCGAGCTGGATGGGAGGGAAGTTCTGGCAGCGAGGGAGAAAGAGGAGTTCTCCGCTGCCTTGGAGACTGCTTCCTCCACCATGAAGGATGAGCTGCTGAAGGCTCATTCTGAGGTGGAGACTTTGAAGGCCGAGGTGGAGTCCCAGGCCGAGCTGTTGAAGAAGGAGGAGGACAGGCGCCAGGCCCAACTCCGAGCTGCCCACGCTATTACCAGGGGCCTGGAGAGGGAGAAGTTCCAGCTCCTGAAGGAGAAGGACGACATGCTCCAGGCGCTTGAAGCGAAGGATAAGGAGCTGGAGCATGCGACTGCCGAGCTGGAGACGGCGAAGGAGCGCCTCAGCAATGGAGTCCTACTGGAGGAAGCATTTAGGCAACATCCTGACTTCGATGGATTTGCCAAAGACTTTTCTGACGCGGGCTTCAAGTTCCTCATGAAGGGCATTGCTTCCGACATGCCCGACCTCCAGATCGATCTCAGCGGTCTGAAAAGGAGGTATGCCGAGAAGTGGGCGTCTGGGCCTGGCGGCACCCCTGGCCCCCAAGCGTTGGTGGATCAGTATGTCAGGGATCTGGACTCTGACTACTCCGATCCCGAAGAGGACCAGGTCGGCTCCACTCAAGAGGGCGCTTCCCCAACAGGCTCTTAGGCAACCGCCCTTCACGAGGCTTTTCGCTGTTCTTCCTCCCTTTTCTTTTTGTTTTGTAAGTGTCAGGGCAGAGCTGCAAGGTCTATAAGCCTTGGCTCCGTTCTTCATTCAATAAAGAGACTCCCATTTGCTTCYACTTTGTTGTTAGCAACCTCTTTTCTTTGCCTTTCCTTTGAACTGCAGCTAATGTCACCTCGCACCTCTTACTTTTGGGGTCGCGCCTTTAATTAACATAATTTGAAAGTTTTGAGTTCGAATCTCTTAATGTTCAATACATTGCACCAACTCTGKATTTTTAACATTTCACCCTTAACTTAAAAAGGTAAAAAGGGTAAAATCCTAAGTYCGTAGCTGTTCTTCATATCGTTCCTCGTACCCCCAAATTCGGAGGCTTGATCATTTTGAACTTTTCACATCGCCCCTTTGCCTTGAAGGTTTRAATTTTAAGTTCGTCAGTGGTTTTGGCATCGCACCTCGTACCCTTAGGCTCCGAATGATTGAATTTGAACCAACTGCTGGAATGCGATCGCGTGGGAGTCCGTGGCCCCCATTTAATTTCTGGTCGAGCTCGGAAGCATGAAATTAAATCATCACATTTATTCCGATCATAATTCKTTTGGAACAGTCTTTACAGATGCATTGAAAATCYTTTTGTCATTTCAAGGATAATAACGCTTCAGGTGCTCCGCGTTCCACGGGTGCGCGAGGACGTCTCCTTTCAGATCGGCCAATATGTACGTCCCAGGTCGGATTATGCCCTTAATCTCAAACGGGCCCTCCCAGGCCGGATCAAGGGCACCCACATGCGCTTGGACCCTCCTTAAGACCAGATGTCCGACCTGAAAGGCCCGAGGTCGAACGCGGGCATTGTAATGTCTGGCCATTCTGCCCTGATATTCCGCCAGGCGTAGCTGGGCCATTGCTCTCCTTTCTTCCAACAAGTCGAGGTTGAGGAGCAGC